CTATTCTTCTATCGATTTTCATTGAATCACAAACGTAATGAAATGGAATTTACACGGTAAACAACATATATGATAAATAATAAATCAATTTTTTATGTTGTCTAAGCTTGCAGAAGAGTATAATTACTAAAATGATGGGGAAAATATAATACTCCCTCCATCTCATCAAGTCTTATTTGAACAACAACAACTACTACTACATAACCCCAGTGCCTCAATGGCTCCCGCCCATTGTGGGGTAAGGGGGTCGGATGTACGCGACCCGTATGTTTAAAAGAAGTTAATTTTTATCATATTTAATGTTTTGTATATATAGTGTTCCATATAAGTTGAGTGTCTTCGATTAGTTAAACCGACAAATAAAATAAAAAAAAATGTAGCTATGTATTGATTTCCAATAGTTCTATTTTGCCAAACCTTAAAATCGTATATTTTTTAAATTTTAAACATGTTTATACAAATTTTAATTTTTTTATTCTTACTATATTTCTTGCATAAATTGAAGTGAAATTAACTTTAGTGGAACATCATAAACCGTAAGCATAACCTTATTGTGGGAAAACGACAACAACAAACCTAGGAGTGTTTTACTACGTATTAGATTTAGTGATTCTTTTTTCCAACATTTCATTGGTTTTGATGAGTTGCAACTCACACATAATTCGTTCATATCCGTGTGCAGGAAGCTCCGGTCGGGGTGCATCGGAGGTAATGCTGAACCGAGTTTCTTATTTACAGCAAGCATATTATGTGATTATCTAATATTCGTCACGAATTCACTAGCTACACGTGGAATGTGATTGTTTTTTATTAAAGCAGGAACTTGGTTTTGAAGCAAAAGTTTCCAAGCTTGTTGAGCTGGGGTTTGGGAGGGATGCAATCATTCAGGCTTTGAAGTTCTTCGACGGCAATGAAGAAGCGGCAGCTGCCTATCTTTTCGGTGGTTGACGAGTCCCCATTACGACGAGTTCACTAAATTTGTTATTATTTGTACACCGTCTTCGATTTTTTTCTTGTAAAATCAAAATGTCCAAAGAAATTGTTGCCAAGACTCGCCCTTCTTTAGGGGAAAGGAAAAAAATGGCTATTTTTTTTCTTTTAATTTAATCACTTCTTTTGTATCTTTCCAATGGTCATGTTATTGTATACCTTTTACAACATGGGTTTTGATTCATGAATGGATATGACTATTGTACCCAACATGGTTTTGGTGAGGCGTCATATTGCTTTGAGTCTGAAGGGTTGTGTTTGAGAAGTTCAAGTCAACGGACATTTTATGCAAGGTACTATAGTACTCTTCGAAATCATTGGTTATGGCTTTATTATTAGGGCCGGTTCCGTTGACACCGGCTTCAGTTGACTCTACGGTGTCATTGTATATTTGGAGCACCTCTTTCACTAAATTGATGATTCTTCCGGTAATATTCCCCACCTCGGCTTGACCAGAACATATCCCCCAATCCTTTCAATTGTTTTCTAAATTTAGTTGAATTGATGTTTAAAGAGATCGAAAACATTTTCAACCCTTCATTTTTAGTAACAAATGATTCTTGTTTCCACCTCATTGGCTAAGTTTCCACCTAATTAAGTGACCACATTAACTCTTTAATTATACGGGGATTAAAAACGAGTTGATTAGGCCACATGGGAGTGAAACTGTAAATGCAAAAAACTAGTTGCATTTGGGAACTGAGAGTAATATCATAAAATCATGAATTGCCAATGAGCGTTGCGCAGTAAAGCAAGGTAAGAGGTGCCAAAGGAGTAAGACCCGAGTTCTGCGTTGAGAGGCAACTATGCTAAGCATAAAAACTCTGTAACTCTGCAAGTACCAGATGCATGCATCACTTCTTGCCACAAATCTGTGATTAAAGCTCAATTTACATTCTCTCAATGACCGTTCGACCGGGCCTGAGGGGATGAGGCTCATCTTTTTTTTGTATATACAAAAAACTAGAAGCAGAATAGTAATTAGTTGCATTTGGAAAGTGAGAGTAATATCATAAAATCATGAATTTTAGAGTATTTACTTCAATTTTTTTAAATGATTTACTATGTTTTTAGTGTTATTCACTCAATTATAATGTAGTATATGTTCATGTTTTCTTAATCTAATGAGGGATCTAATGCTCTGCCTTCGCTATGATGCAAACTTGAGTAAACCTTTCCTTATATTTTGAGGAGAGGACATCCTACCACTCAAGCTAAGGAGAAGTTCATGATCAACTAATTTATTCATCTCTATTCTACTTCCTTTGTCCTAGCATTCAATTTGATTTTTTCTAGTCAAATTGGATAAACTTTTAATTATCAATTACTCTTAATTTGTATTGCATATTAATACAAATAGATAAAATTATAAAGGTTCTGAACAAGAGCAAATCTAGTTAAATCATTTTTATACTAATATATAGTATAAATTTTATTTAATTGAGATCTAAAGTTTATCTAGTTTGATTCGAAATATCAAATTGAACAAATATAATAGTACAAAGGTAAGGGGGNGTAGCTCGGCTCTGTTAAGTACTCTCATCCATGTAATAATTTCTAGTTTTAAATAATTTGATTAAAATGACAATAGGTAGGATTGTAGGGAGACCAAAAGAATAATTTGAAAAAGGAATACTCGTTAAAAAAAGGGGTAAGAAGGCTTTTAGATGCCATTCTAAGGCGTTGGATTATGTAATCTATGTAAAGAAAAGAAGTTGGTAGCTTAGATGCCATGTCCCAAATTACTTTTTTTTGTTTTAATTTGTTTGCATTATACTTCGTCTATTCCAAAATTAAAGTAAGCGAAGTTTGAACTAAATAATATTACTCAAATATATGTCATTTTCCAATGTACGGAGTATTACCTAAACTTTATTATTCTCTAAATAGTATTTAAATAATATCTAGTGTCGAAAACAATGTCCAGTAATGGTGGATATTTAGTTTGAACAATGTCCAGTAACGGTGGATATTTACTTAAACAATGACAATGACCCGTGGTACTATATTAGGAAACAAAACACTCCCAATATGAAGTATAATACTACATTGGGAAAAGTCACTATGTTTTAATAATATTTAGGTAAATTATCCTTAAAGTAATAATTATGTAAAATTTGGACTTAAATAGTACTCCGTGTGAAAACATTTTACTTTTTGCAATGTAATATGTACAATTTTTTATTTCTTAAATAGTACTTGAATAGTGTCCAGTGACAGTGAATATTTACTTGAACAATATCCAGAGGACATTGAATAGTGGTATTACATTGGGAAATAAAAACACATGGTACATTAAGAAATTCAATATGTTTTACTCCATTTGTCCCATTTTAAATTGCATTTTTGCCTTTTTTTCTCCGTCCCAAAATAAGTTGCCTCTTAGTTATTTTCGTAAACTTTAAAAACTAAAGTACCTAAACTACCCTTAAAATAAGTCACTCTTCTTCACCATATCTTCTCATTCATCATCACCCCTCCTAAAAAGTAATGGCAATTTCGAGAAATCAATTCTATTTTTTATTTTCCTTAAATATGCCCAAAAGTCAAAACATGCGATTTAAATTGGGACAGAGGGAGTAGTACTATATAGATAAAATCCCCTAATTTAATTTAACAAATTTTTATAAGCCTATTAGAAAATAAAATAGACTCAATACTATGTATGTAAATGAGTTTGTTTGGAAGACATAATAAAAATGATATGAACGGCTTATTTTTTTCTAGTAAAAGAAACATTGTTCGTGATTTAAGTATCATCGGCTATTTTGTGTAATTGGATTAACTCAAGATCGGATAAGAATTTTAATAGACGTTGTTAACGAGTTAGGAGGTGCGGAGTGCACGCTCGTTAAACGATATTAGAAATTCCACGGCGGGGGTCCGGGGGCGGCAGTCCTCGGTAGCAGGGTCCAAGGGACAAAGCTTGGTTTTGGAGAACCCTAACTATTCGAATAAATGTCCATTTATTCGAATAGGTCAGCACATGCCTGGTTTTTTTAGAAAATCCCAACTATTTGAATAAGTTGTCACTTATTCGAATAGTTCAAATTGGAAACTGCCTAAAAGATAAGATTTTTCCCACGGGTTGCGTTTATTCGGCCAACGGTCACGTCCGATCGCCCTAATGCCTATATTATGGGCTTGCACGGTATGTTTGAGGATACATGGAGGTTTATACTCGTTCTATATGCTAACGTCTTATTTGATTGAAGTATTTTGGTATACTCCGAAATAACTTTAATATGAAAGCGTGATTTCATGTGATTCGTTTAGTCTATCAAGCCATTTTACGTTACAGTATACCAAGTAATGCTGTTGCGCAGCATTGTTCCTCCATACGGTACTACCCCTATTTCTAACAAAAATATTATAGAGTATTATTTTGACACATGTTAAAAAGGAAAAATTTTACTAGGAGCGGAGGAAGTATTTAAGTGTGTATTATACTTCATGCATAGTTTCTCTATCACAAATTTATTTTTATCGTTACTATTTACAAAATTAAACTATGATTCCTTTCCTTAAATAGGCTCACCCAATATTTTTTTAAATGAAATTCGGAGACTGAAATATTTATACATTTAGGTTTTGTTTGGGATGACTTTTTTAGTATTAACATTTTGGATTATTTTCTACTAAATCAGATTAGTTTTAAAGATATAAAAAGTTACTGTCGAAATGTTCAAAATGCTAAAGTAAGCGTTGCAGGTATTGACAAACAAGCATTAAAGCTCTAAGAAACGGAGTACTATGTATGGAGTATTATACACGGAAAAGAGAACTTGTCAATGATATTTGGTAAATACATATATAATGTAATTAATACTAGATCAAGAAAAAACTTGCCAATGATCTTTTAGTCCAATGGCACCTTTATCACTCTTCCAAATAAGAGATCATGTTCAATCTCGAGTGGGCAATGACTCTACGGGCTTTAATAGATTAAAAATATAAGGATAGGTTCGAGGACTGGTGGACTAAGGCAAGAGCACATTTTGAGAATTGGTCTTATTTCTCTCCCATTATTAGTGACTATAAAACGCTCTTAGCCATAAGTGGTGGTGCTTTCAGTTTTCATTTTGTGTACCGTTCTGCCAATGAGGCAGCACACGTTCTTGTTCGTGCTTCTCATTTGTCCCAGAGTCTCTCTCCTCCAGACTTCATTTCTATGTTAATGTAATAAACTCTTGGGTTCTTTAAAAATAGGAATGAAGTGGGTAATTCACAATAAATCTCTCTCTTTTGCATAAAACTTAACCAAATATACGGAGTACTTTTTTTAAAATTCTATTAAAAAAAAGCAAAGAGAAAATTTAATTTCAGACATAGAGAGTATTATTCTATCATTCAGATTGTTTAATTAAAGCCGCTACAATTGTAAATGAGTGGACTTGAGATAGGTATTATTGCAAGTCTCCAACACCTTGTATAATTGAATTATATACCTGAAATGAGTTGCTTCATTTGTTTGCTACCGGAGTACAAAGTTTACCTTTTGAATCTTATAACAAAGTTTACCCTGTTCTTAGATATTCTTTCGAGCGAAAAGTTAGAAAAAAAAGTTAGTTTAAACTAGTTTTTATACACAATATTGTTATGTTGAAATAGTAATATGACTAATGAAATTGAAAGTCATACACACAAAACAAAAAATTATCAATACATGCAAGAATGTGCTTTGATAATAGTGAGAACTAAATAAACATGAAAAAAATTAGAAAAATGGGTATGACAAATTATTATTCTTCCAAAATATTATAAATATAATAAATAAAAACTCCGTTTAATATTTCTGACTCTTCAACATCTAAACTTCAATTTTTATTACTATTATTTTCTCTTTGGTATTTGGGCATGAGACTCTTGACACTTTGTCAACTAGACATCCCAACAAATTACAAATGGGCTCCCACAAACAATTTTAGGAGCAAAAGAACTGTAAATTGCATGAGAAATACACATGTTAACAAGACACAATGATCTGTTCATTCGGTATTATTATTTTTTTGAATATATTTATACACAGACATATTCCACTTGAACAAGCTAAATATGCGTCCAGTGAACAAATGTTGCTAAAAAGTCAAATAAAATCTGCATTGTAATTAAAATGCCACATGAATCTCTTTCACCCTTCTTTGTAAGAACAAATCTACTTCTACCCCAAGCGTTGTGCCCCAAAATGTACCCCAAAGGTTAAAACTTACATTTTGTGTCAATGTAAGCAGTCAAAATGTAAGTGTAAACATTTCGGGTACATTTTGGGGTACACCTAGCATAGTTGTTGTAAGAAAGGTAACAATAGGCTAGAGAGCTACTCTGCATTAGTAGTTCAAAACCCTTTCCAGGCAGCGAGAATTTCATGGAAGATTTCAGACACGAGTTCTCGATCTGCATATTGAAGAAAGGTGTTGAAATCGTCAGAAATGTCATATATCTTACCAAACTTGACGAGATACTGCATACAACTGTCCTTCAGCTCTGGGAGCCCGTAAAGCGAGGCACTCTGGAGCCTGTCGAGGACATTGCCGGTATCAATGTCTTGAATTAGACTTTGATGGCACGCGTCCTTCAGGTCAGCAATGTCATACTTGTCAGCTGCCCGAAGAAGCGCTAACCGATGGGTCAGGAACTCTCCGTTTTCTATGGTCCCGTATATGTACCTAAGGAAAGCATTGCAGGCTTCGGCTGACATATCAGAGATGTCCACAATGGACATTTCTTTCTCCTTGAGATCGTGCGAGAACATGCTTCGGAAAACAGGTGACCTTGCAGCCAGAACAGCACGATGGGCTGAAATGCTCCCGCCTGCAGTGTTTACTTGAATGTCGGTGTGAATCCTTTCAGAGAACATCCGGCCTAGGGCTATTAGGGCACCCGTATTCGACTCTTTCTTTGTGAAGCCTTCAGCCCAAATAGAGCTAAGCTCTCTACTCTGTTAAACAATATTACCAAGGAAAAACTCATTACACCTCGTAAGCTAAGCAGTCTAAACTAAGCAGTCATTTCTTCTTAAGGAGAAATAGGGTGAGTACACCCTAAATAAGACCTAATATGTGTGGTGAATATATAATTGATGACAAACCCAAGATCACACTCTCTTGGTAAGGAGTGGCTTTACCACTCTTTGCTCTCAATTTCCATTTCCAGTCAACCACACGGGCGCGTGTGAATATTCATGCTAAATTCATAAGATTATAATGTGTATTTGAGACGAGAATCAATGCATAAAATAAAGAAAATACATTTGGAGAGGTGATCTTCAAATCAAGAAATTCAACGTCGATGATGAATTTGCCCGCAGGTGGCAGTTCAATTGGCCAAATGAAGTCTTCACTGGTCTTAAGTTGTTTGTCTACAACTTCTGCATGCCAAACAATGGCAAACCCAAAGTGAGAAAAGGGGGGGAGAAAATCACAAACAACAGAATGGGGGGAAAATGGCTACCTGGGTGAACTGAAATCTTGCGGCCTCCAAAGGACGAGATTGCTCTAATGATAAAAGATGCAACAGGAGGGTTATCCCGCGTTAAATTTGAAATCTCAGGGTACAATTTGATGAACAGTGTCCTGTTCTTCTCAATAACTAAATGCCTTCAACACAAACAACAAAGTACAAAGTATATTATTTTGGATCCAGACAAACCACTTCAACTTTTCAACAGCAGTTTGTTGTTATGGAGCACTACATTTTATAAGCTTAGTGTTAGAGCTACAAACTGCAACGATTTATCATCCATTCTCTTGATTTGTTGACAAAACAGAAAAAATACATTGTCACGGCATGGAATTCGAGACCCAATCACATCCACCAAGACCCATCATCCATCCCAACCCAACAGAACAAACCAACCTCCAAAAGGCTAATCCTAAAATGTTCAAAACGAGCATTTTGCATAAGGGGGTTCTGGTTTACGGTCACAAGTTCGAATATGAACAGATTAGATTGAAATTAGAGGTAATAGTTGTTAGAAAATAAGAGTCGGAATTGAATGATTGAATGGAAGAATTCAAAAATGGAGGGCTGGGTGGGTGAGAGACTGACCAATTCCATCTACCGATCTTGAAAGGGTCTGACTTGCGGTAAGTGCAGGAGGAGAGATTGTCGATCCGCCATTGGGCGAGGCGGGGCGTGGTCCGCACGCGATACGCCGAGTCGTCGGTCATCCTCGAGAAGGCCAGAGCCGCCGTGATGTCATTGATGCAACCCAGAAGCCCCTCCAACGTCACCTCTCCCTGCTTTCCCAGGATTTCTCTCTCTCTCCCTCTGCTATGCCCTCCTAATCCCCACCTGGAACCTCACACACATACACACACACACTATTTATTTATTTATATATATATATATATATATATATATATATATATATATATATATATATATATATATGAGAGTTTGAAGAATAATATGTATTTCCTTCACACGAAGAAGAAGAGGAGGAATATATATATATAGGGGTAGATCAGAAGAGACCTTTGGAATTGGGAAATTGCAGAGAGAGATTCGGTGGAGTGGACGACGGGCGACCCGACTGAAATTCGGGCACGCAAAGGATATTTTGGGGTGAATGCTTTACGCCATTGGTACGGGGAAAACTTTATGGAGGCTTTTTCCTTGTTAGCTTCTCCCTGTTTGTTGTTGGCTTACACTCCACACTTCCATGGCAGTGGATGCTGATGATGATGATGATGGGCAACACCTTTCCTTTTATATTTTAGATTCTGCACGCACTTCGAGGCTTCGGATTGTTTATATGATGGGTTTCTGTTATGGTGGACCCCAACTTGAAAATAGTTTCTCCTCCAAATAGAAATGGTTAGATTGAAGTCCCGAGCTTCTTTTCTTTTCTATTTACTACTCTCTCCCTCCCGGAGTATTTGTTCAGTTTTTACTTTTAGAACTGTTCATCTAAATACTTTGATTCATCAAATTTTCTCAATGTGTAAGCCTAAATATAGTCATGTGTGATTTTGTTTGATTTGTCTTAACATATAGATTATTAATATATAATTTCTATAATTTTTTAATATACAAATTACAAGATAAAATGGATTAAAGAAGTGTATTGGATGGTGTGTAAAAATGAAAGTGGACAAATACTCTGGGACGGAGGTAGTATTACGATTTCTCGACAATTCTTATTTATTTGTGTATTTTTATTGATCATTTGATAAAATAAAATACTCTTGTCACCTCTTATTTTCTATAGTTTTCGATGCAGTTTTTAAATATAATTTTTTATGTGTTATTTCCTTACCAATTTGCAAATAAAATCATTTTAAAATATACGGGGTTTTACACGTTAATCAAAGTAGAAAATTTCTTTTGGGACGGGGGAGAATGTCTCAGTGACCCTGTCTAGCCGGGTTCATCTTTTAAAAATGGTAGATTTCTTATGTATTTTAGTGTAATTTGAATAACTATTTGACCAATGTTATCATAATAATCATCAAAAAGTTAGTGGTGCAAAATGCAGGATTCGTTAAGTTTGTTATGATAAAAATCTCTTTTTAATGAAGGTTTCAAGAGGGTAGCGCCCGTGAGAGTGGGATTCAAGCGTGCGACCGTCCTTGTAGGGTCCAAGGGGTAGAACCCTTAATTTTTATTTTTAAGAATTCGGTATAAAGAAATCCCAGAAAGAACTTTTTTTCTAATTTTCGCACAATTAGACGCAGATTTCAGAAAAGAGAGATGATCGCATCTCTTCTTCTTCTCTCCTTCTATAAGTATCCCACAAGGCTTGGTCGAAAATTCAATATGTTCAAATAAATAATTCATCGCAATTCAAACTTGTTCTTGATTAATAGTTTAAATTTTATCTGATTGATTTTGGAATTAATGCCTAAATAATTAAAATACAAAAGTGCGTGTTATTATGATTCTCATATAAAGTTGTGTTATTTCAATTCCCCAACATGATTAATGTCAACTTTGGCACCGTGAATAATAATAATAATAATAATTTTGTGTAATTTTACACGCACACAAGATGCAATAAAAAGTAATTTATATATTTTGTATCTTCACTGGTAATTATATCACATGTAGACCTGGCAAAACTATCCCGGACCCGATAATCCGAATCGAATCCAATTTGACCCAAAAACTGGAGAACTGAAATAGAATCGAACACTTGAAATGATCTAAACCGAACCGAATGTATTCAGACCCGATTCATATTCGAACCCGATTTAACCCGAACCGATTTAACTCAAACTGGTTAAACTCGAAACTGATTAAACCCAGAATTGATTAGACCCGAAACTAATTAGAACATAAACTGATTAGACCCGAAATTGATCAAATTAATTAATATTTAATTTATCAAATGAACTTGGAGAAAAAATTTACTGATGCCAGGTCTAATCACATGTATACAACTTTTATATACAAATCTTTTACTCCGTATTTTATCAATTAGATTAAAGTGTTTTTGTATTTCCATAGAGAGTATATAAAATTTATAGTGATATTGTAACACATATTTTATATAAACAATTATGTTACCAAAGTTTTTTTATTAAATATGCCAATTAATACACTATCAATAATACTTGAGCATAAACCCAAATGATGAATGATGTCACAATCATTAGGCAAAAACTTATGAACATGTAAATATATTTTTTTTTATGTACATCCGTGTTAAATAATAAACTAACTACGAAGTATGTGACAAGTTGACAAAATTTATTAAGTGACATTATTGATTTATTAGTATACATTTAAAATATACCTGAACTAATATAAACTTAAATCGATATATATACCCAAACCGATACAAACTCGAACCAATACAAACTTGAATCGATATAAACTCGAATCGGTATAAACCCAAGCCGATACAGACCCGAACTGAAACCAAATCGAAACTGAAAACCAGTCAAATTGAAATAAACCTGGAACCGAACTAACCCGAATCGAACCAAACCAATTAGAACATATATCCGAAAAAGACCCAAACCGAAAAGATCTGAACTGTAACCGAAGCGATTGACCCGATTGCGAGGTCTAATCACATGTATACATATACGAGAATGGAAGAAAAATATTATTTAAAAAAACAGTTTTAAAAAAAACATTCTCCACGGGTTTTCTTCTTTAGCATCATTTGCTCAACATTCTCTTACTCTTTGCGCATTTGTCTGTTTTTTACTTTTTCGACAAATTTTGACCATAAATTACATGATAATGATATTAGGTATTTATACAAAAATAATTTTATTAAATTCATTTTATAAAATATTTTCAAAATATTATTTTATCTCATTAATATAGAATATATATTTTATTTAATTATTGGTCAAAAAGTAAAAATGATTAACGGTAAAAAGTTAAAACTGAACAAATACTTTAGGATGGAGCCATGGAGGTAGTATTATTTGACCAATTAATTAGATATTACAGAGTGGTTAAAGAAATTCAAACTAGTACTACTTGATGGGGAAATTAGGTCTCTTTTAGTATTATTTGCATAAATTTCTCATTTTTTCATTCAAATATATAGTCACGTCATCCTGTCATAAGATTTCGCGCTTGACTTGACACAGAGATTAAAAAAATGAAATTATACGAAGCATGGTTCAAAATGGTATAAAGAAAAAAAAGAAAATACCTAGGCCACAAAAACATTTCCAAAAGTAGGAAATAAAACTTTTTGTGACAGGCAAAAAGGAAAATGTGAACCTTTTTTATAAAATAGAGATAGTAATTGTTATAACTAAATAGAATTTTCGTTACATATTGTGATCAAAATAGCAATGCAATTTTGGGATGAAAGAAGCACAGTAATTATAGTACTCAAGTTATAGAAAAACGGATGACAAATGATTAATCACATGCAAATTAGCCACTTGTGCATAAACCTCGCAAAACTGATTCGGACCAGATAACCCGAACCGAATAACTCGAAATTGAAACCAAGTTGACCTAAAAACTAAAGAACTGAAATAGAACCAAACACCTGATATGATCCAAATCGAACCAAAACCGAACTAAATGTATTCAGATCCGATTCAGATCCAAATCTGATTTAACCCTAAACGATTAAACTCAAAACCGATTAAACCCAGAACTAATTAGACCCGAAACCGATTAGACCCGGAATTGATCAAATTCATTAATATTTCGTTTATCAAATGAACTTGGAGAAAAAGAATTACCGATATATTTTTAAATATGTTGATGTGTTTCTAAAAAATATATTTAAATTATGGGTGCAAACCGTGCAACTATCATTATAACTTAAGTTAAAGTATTTTTGTATTTTATCGTCTTTGAACTTAAAGTTTGACCAATATCGTCTCTTCCAAAATATTACCAAAAAATATTTAAAATAATACATTTAAAGTGTTTTGCGATACCAATAATCTGATAATAACTTTTACTCTGTATATTTTAATTCATTATATATTTTTATACATAGTTATTCAAATATTTGACACACAGAGTATAATTAATAGTTAAACAGAAACAGAAGAAGTACGAAGTAGAATGTTAACTAAAAAGATCGCGTCGAAAACTTTAGGAGGGAAAGCTTTAGAATGTACACAATTAGTCAATTATGTACTCCGTAAGTGTTATTTTTTATGTACGTCCGTGTTAAATAATAAAATAACTACAGAGTATGTCATAAATTGACTAAATTTATTATGTGATATTATTGATTTATTAGTATATGTTTAAAATATACCTAAACTGATACAAACTCGAATCGATATAAACCTGAACCGATACAAACCTGAACAGATACAAACGTGAACCGATATTGACCCGATCCAATATAAACCCAAACCGATACAAACCCAAACCGAAACAAAACCAAAACTAAAAACCAGTCAAACCGAAATAAACCCGGAATGAAACAGACCCGAGCCAAACTGAGCCCAAACGGATTATAACATATATCCAAAAGAGACCCAAACCGAAAAGATCTAAACCAAAATCGAACCGATTAACCTGATTGCAAGGTTTACTTGTGCATGCCACGCCAATAACTTAACCAGATATTTGAAGGCGTCAAATTTAAGTAGCTAAGCATAACAAGGGGATAACAAGAATTACTAAAAAGAAAGGCACCCAAAGTGGAACTATGGGTTCGCATAAAAAGATTTTGCCATGCTATTGTTTGCCACTTTGCCCCCAAGAGGATTAGTCTTGAAGCGATTTCAAGCCCTATTAGCTTGGCAAAACGTTGAATCACGTGTACAAATGGTGGAAAACAAAACAATCCAAAGCATATTGTTTGGAGATTTTGTTGACAAAATATAGTCTTTTCGCATGAGACTGATGCGATACGCCACCCATCATTGTCTATAGTAGTCACTGCTCGTAATCTTACACAACAATGGTCAATGGCAAACAGAAGACCGTTGCGCCACTTGGAGAGATGATGGCAAGGCGCCCTCACATCAGCGGCTGGTGGTGGTGGACGTGGTGGTGGTCGATGAGAAAAAGATTCTTCCTTAACCAAGCTGATCTCAATTGGCTCAGATGGTGAAGTTGCTCCAAGAGATATATGTACCCACTCAAGCCCCTTTCTCGGTTTTCGCCCGTGTATATATTGTAAGCATGTTCCAACCCTTGGTGAACCGAGAAGTGGATGTCACGGTCCACCATTCCAAATGTTTGCATGGCATGATTGAAATACGCGCCAAAGAACCGAAAGCACTCGTTCTGCAAGGAGGGTTTGAACAATGCAGCATTGTGATCTAGATTGTTGTTTGTTACGGCGTAGGCATTGGGAGAAGAATATTGACCACCAAATGTAGCGTAAGGAGATACTGCTGCTTGGACTCTTGGAGGCCTTTGAGCAGCAGCAAATCCACAGTGCTGCCTAGAAGGATTAGGAATTTTCTTTGCGTGGGGCGAGAACACATACTTAAATGTGCTGCACTGACCCAATGGAAAAGGGTCGTCGCATCTCGGGCCATCCCCTCTCTTATTGTTGTAGCCTGGGTAATCAGTGATTCGGAAATCAACGCACTCAAACAAAACCAGAGAACTGTTGGACGCCAGACCGGTGAGATCCCAGTGGCAAAACGGCGCAGTTGTTTTGTGATTCACATGAATTTCCCCGTCCGGTCGGAGCATCCCACTTGCACTATGGAAAAATCCACTGACTAGTTTCCGGTGCATTCTGTCCATAAAGAAGACAGCAACATATGTCACATGAATTGTACAGAGGGAGGATTGAATTATGACTCTACCAAAAAATGACATATTCAATGCATTAGTCATAACTTACTGCACTTCTCACTCAATTTTTTGAACCAGAAATGGATAATTAATAATGCAAAACTGCAAAAGTGATCTATAAATGTCATCATAAAAGCACTCTATCTGCACAAGCCACACACCATTTATACTCTAAATATGTAATGTCAAATTGCCTCATTGAGGAATGGTCCTTCTGCAGCATTTTAATATAAAATAATTCGCTATGATGTGTTCCAGCAAATAAAGTAAAAAACCCAATGAAAGGAAAAATTCTTACAGAAACATTCACAACCAAGTAAAGGCTAAGCAAACAACCATAATTTGCTATGATATGAGCAAGATCAGTTGATCATGCATGTTTTCATCTATAGAAAACATTATGTGGTTCATTTTTATCATGACAAGAAAATGGTTGCAATAGGGAAGATAAGTGAACAAAGAAGACATACTGGATTAGCCGCGTGGCGTCTTCCTTTCCATGGAAACCGGCGTGGGGAAAATTAAATATAATGCGGTCGAATTTTCGCATCCGGAGGTCGGTATGAAGCTTCATTTTGATAGCATCCACTCCATGCAAAATGGTGGCTCCTAAATCTACCAATTTCTCTATGTTAGACTTTGCATTCTTGTACTTTTTCGTCACCTGATCTGCATTTAGCAAAATATACCATATCTAGATTTAAGCCAAGAAAAGAAAAACCACCATACATTAATTAAGCCTGAAACATAAGAATAGAAGTGAAATCTAAACCCTTAGTATTTTCCCAAATCCAGCAGGACAACAATAGGGGAGGGAGTTTTTTTTAAAGTGCCCAATTTTAGCTGTAAAAGGAGGAATGATCAATGGGATGAAACTGATTTGGCAGCTAGACATTCAACACCATCTTTCCTCTAACCTCAAACTTGTAATCAATCAATAATAATAATTCATCATCTCCATCAAATCCAAACTTTAAAAGATGGACCAATAATCTCACAAACCCTTTCTGAAATGAATGAGAATCAAAACTTGGAGACACTCAATGATGGACAATAAATCCACCGGACGATCCGATTCAGAAGAATGGATCACCAGAACAAAAATAAGAACGAGAACTCGAGAATTATCGGTGTGTATTATTAGCTTGATTTTACTTGAGCCTTCCCCTTTCGGGTCCCCTCTATTTATACATGGATTTTGGATAATTAAGATAAATCGTAATCAGAGGGAGTCTATTCCGCCGTTAGCGCGATCCTCATTTTCCGGCTTCGTCTCCGTCCTCCAGCCGAGTCTCCTCCGGTAAATTAGCTCTGCCAGTTGTCTCTTGGGTTGGATTGGTTCGGGCCTCGTGTCGTGGGCCGGCCCAGATCCAAGCTCTCACCGCACGCTCAACCGGTTCTGAGGATGATTAGTTTGGGCCGCCCGCTGGATATCGGCCTATCACTCAACATATGAGCTTAACACACTCAAAATGAAACAAATTGTAATGCAGCCAAAATCAAATGTAAAAATAAGACGATTATCTCACATACCCCTTCTGAAAGAAATGAGAACTTAAACTTGGAGACATTAACCAAATAAGCTTAAAATCACTCAATTTCAGATTTTCCACAGCGAAAATGAAAACTCAATTGTCCATATTATATCAGTAAACAAATCTGCAAAATCGAGAGAAGGTACCAAAGGAATCGAGGGTAGAAGCGACAATATTCGAAGCAGATCCGAACGCCATAGCCAGACACAGAGAGAAAGAGAGATCTCCATCACCCACAAGCAGAATCTGATGAAGCGAAGAGTAATGCTTCATCCACCTCTCCTCCTCTTCATCTTCTTCTTCTTCATCCGCTAACTTCTTCTCTCTCTTGAGGAGGTCGACAATGGCAGACTGGACTTCCACTTCCATCATAAAACTACGGGATTGTATATCGCTCTCTCTTTTGTTCTTTTCCATTGATCATTTTATACGGAGTAAAGAAATGCTCCCAGTTGAATTCAAATTTTATGACTGTTGGAATTTCAATCGGACAAGAAGGGCAGCGGTTGCGGTCGGAATTACAAGGCGTGCCTCCATTCATTCTATATTAGCTCTCCATTCAAATTTTAAGATACATTGAAAATATAAAGGGATATAAATGTATTTTATGTCTACCTCCATTCATTTTTTAATGTATTTTCTCTATATAAATCATCCTAAATAAAACTAAAAAATTGAGAAAATTATCAAAACATGACTTTCATTTTTTTCTTCGAAATAAGACTTTTCACTGTTGATGGGTGTATTTCACCCACAACCGGTCAAAGGGCTGGATTAGAAAGTTGACCGGTCAAAGAAGTCGAACTCGAAAGGGAGATCTGAATCATCAGCAAATGGGTGGCTGGTTGGCCAGAAAGTTGACCGGTACACTTCGGGTTAGTATACCGGTCAAACTACTCCATTGCCTAAATCCGTCCCCTGAAATTAGCCAAACCAACCCTCGAAGATCGCCCGGTCTAGTTTCCGAAGATCGGAGAGCGTCGGTAGGAAGAATCCAAAAGAGGCTTGGACTGTAGTGGTTGGCGTTGCAGAGATGCTGGAGGAATATTTCCAAGCCAGAACGTGACAAGGAGGGTGATCCCCCTCGCAAGACGACAGGGCAGCTCAGAGCCAGTCACTTCACACCACGCCAGCAGCATACCCCCACGTGGGCGCACGTGGTCCTGCTCCCCAGCCTAGTATATATACCTCTTGTAACCCTCGAATGAGGGGGATCCGAATTCACTCTCTCTAAACTCCCTTGTAAAAGCACCCGTGCATTCTCCGTTATAATATAAATTGGGCTACAGGTGTTCCACCTAAAGTCCTACCGGTCAATTTGCGTGTTTTTACCTTTCTTACTTTGCCAAATCAAGCGAACTATTCTAGACCCGGTCTAGTATAGTTTGACCGGTCACGTAATTTACACCATCATTTTTGGCGCCGACCGTGGGACCGTTAAGGTTTCTTCTCCTAAACACAAACCTACCCACCAAAACACCACTCGAAATGTCTTCCAGCCAACAAATCAACGCTACTTCCGCTCAGGTGCAGGCCACCAACGAGGGAGCCAGCATCCCTGTGGCTGCTACCATACCGGTCATTTC